ATTTCTCCTTACAATATCAACAAGATAAGTGATGAGAATAAAGAAAAATATCAATATGGGGATAATTGATCGATCGAATACTAAATTCTCTGAACTAACATTATAAGAATTGTCTGGTTGACGATAAGGAGAATTACAAATTGGATCTAGGAGTTAAAGGGTTAAATTAATGCCAAGAGCAATAAGCAGTCATAAGGTTTTGGACAATTCAGTCTCGTTGTTGCAAAAAGATAATGTGTCCTGTTTGATAATTTTTTTTTTTTAACTCTAATCACCTGTTTTCAAAACAATACATGTAAAAAAGGAAGAATTTATTAACTGATCACCACTAGAGGTCAAAAGTTTAACAGTGTGTACCTGCTCATTAGTAGATCAACTTCTTCCTCTATCTCTGCTTCAGTGTCCTGAAAGAAGATGGCAGATGTTGTTTCAATATAAAATTGCTACTTGTCAAAGCACTTATTTAGTCATTCTGGAAAAAGCTAAAATATTCTCACCTTTTCTACATATATGGGATGTTTGCTAATTACATCATGAGAAAATAAAACTCACCTCTGTCCTGAGTCTTTGAAAAACCTTCTTCTCATTGTCTAACACAGCAAAGGATTGTTTTCCTGCAAAAAATTATGGATTTGAATTTTTTCCAATAATCTTTTTTAATTGAAGCATTTTTAAAACTTTAAGTAAATGAGTGCATATGATGAATAAGTTTAGTGGATTGACAAAAGTTCATCTTGTTTTAGATTAATAGATTGCTTAAAGACAAAACACATCTTATCATAGATACAACAATAAAGTAATGCAACAAATTTGTCTTATGTTAATTGCTTTAGGGTTCAAACTTAAAAAAAAAAACATGTTGGGTAATAGGTTTTCCACATTTTGCTGGAAGTTTTAAAAGATGTATCACTAGATAGTAAAATTTAGCAAGATCATTAAAATGTGTAAAATTCAGCCAATAAAAATTAAAAACACCTATCGTGATATTTGCATGTCGTCAAGTTAAATTGATTTAAGTGACGCCACTCAACATTTACCTCTTGCATCTCCATTGAAAATAAATGTCAAGTCACCCCTCTGCCACTTCATGTCACTAAAATCCACTAGTGTACTATCCATTCTGTTGAAAGGAAAAAAAAAGTTCATGACAACGGACAGGAAAAGATTAAGCAAGTAACAAAGAAGTAAACTCTTAAGTATCCTCTGGATAAATCTCTATCCAGTGGATAGTGCAGTATGTTTGGTTGACACTCATCCCCTGGATAGCAATTTATCTGGCTTGGGTTGTTGGAAGGCCGGATAACAGTATTCACTGGGTAAATCTCTATCTGGTGGATGGCATGGTACATTCTGTACACATTAGTGTGCCAGACAGTGATTATCCCTAGGATAGCATCATTCATGCTTTGAATAACCAGGTCCTGTTGAATAGCCTTATCCCACCTTCAAGAAATGGAGTCCAGCACACAAACCATAGGCCAACACTTCTTCCACTGGACTATATAATCAAGTGTAAATTACAATTGACAAAAGTCAAGTGTGCAGATAAGTGGTTTAGTCACCCCACATAAAGGATAAAAAAAGATACAGTCTAATACCTTATGGAGCATCCTTTCTTGTACACTTTACATGTGTCTGATGGCAATATTCTGGACAATAGTGGTACTGCAAAATAAATTTTAAACAGACAAATCAATATGATACCAGAAGTATAACATAAATGAACAGAAAAGAATGCAAACAGAGCAAAATGTTTTTGTACAAATTGATGAAATCTGTTCAGTTTCTGAATTATTCTGACTGACTGTACATACCCCAGCTTTGAAAATCCCAATTAATCTCCACATAGAAGTCTCCAAGCTGGAAAAAAAGGAGCAAATTCTAAAATTACCATACATTTAAGCAACAGACCCCACTTTCTATCTATTTGCCAGCAAATTAACCAACACAAGATGTTTGGAGAACACAAAAAAGTTTGTAAATTAGAAAGTGGGAGCAAGTAGTTCCCAAACTTTTCAGGAAAGAACTACATGTATGTCAGGCATTAGTAACTAAACTGTGAATAACAACTGAAAGTACACAGTACATAGTTTCTGGTCTTGATGATTTCTTGCATGTACTGAATTTTATTTTCATCAGTACGATGTAATTACAAGTACATCTATTCATTTTAGGGATTCAAATCCAATTGAAGTCTTCACAATTTTTTGAGTCTCACACTAAGAGCACTTGTAAGAGGAACACTCCTTGGTTGGTAATTTGCTTAGGTCTCTCTTGCACTTGGCAAATTATCAGCAAAGCAAGTGGAAGTTAATGTACACCAGTGACCATAATATTAATCTAATCATAACCAATACCATTTCCTCACAAACGATCAGTGCATTAGGTGCTTTATTTTTCACTACTAATTCCACATAGTTGTAATCAGACAGTTGGCTGTAATCTGACACCTGTAATTGGTCAGTTCTAGCAGCCAATCATACCAAGTCCATTCAACTGAATTCCTCAATCACAGAATTGATCACAATAACCATAACAACCACTTATCTTTAAAAAATTTGGGGAATTTCCAAAATGGAGGGATTTTTTTACCTTACACATTGTCTCTACTATAGATGTTTGTCCTGAATGTATATTTTTTTCCCGAAATTTTTACAGTGATGATTAATTGGTAACAAGACTAAGTAATAACTTGTATGATTACAGACCAAATTGGACTCCACTTGCTTCTATTACCATTATAAATTACCTCTTGTAATGCAGTTGTCAATTGAGGTCTTCTTTCCTCTAGAGCTTCTCTTGATTGTTCTTTGAGTTTCTTCAGTAATGATGTGACTATAAATTCACAAATACAGGATGGTTTAAGTGCCAAATATACAGCTGTAACCCAGTTCTGAGAAAACCTTTCAAAAACTGAAAATCTACTAGTCTCAGACAAGCTGATATGCAAAAGCTTTCTGCCCTGCACAAAGGTGGCAAACAAAACAACAATTTGTATCGTCAAGAGAAACTTACTTATTTGCCGATCCCCATAACTGATGGCTTCAGCCAGAGGAGTCCATCCAAAGTTATTTTTCACTTTCACTGGGGCTTTGTGGGCCAGCAGTAAATACACACATTCTAAAATAAAAAATTACATGCTGCAGGACAAGGCAATAAAGCACCTCTGCTGAATCAAGGTCATGTTTCATAGGTAAAATATTATAATATTAATTTTAACAAGTTTGTCAACCTGCTATTCAAAACACAGATATAGTGTTGCTGAAACTTTGTGGATAGAAATCAGTTGGTAACATGCTACTCTGCAAAACCACATCAGGGTTTGAGCTAGTATTTGATCACTGGGGGACAATTTGTCTCCTTAGCAAAAATTTTGGGGGACATTTTCATTTTTAGGGGGACAGACAAATCAATTTTTATTCAACATTTTTTTTTTTTTTTACATTCATACAGGCAAGCCGACAAAAACATTTTTTTACCTGATCCTTGTAATACAAGAAAAGTGATACAAAAAAGAAAAGTTATGTTATTGGGGTCAAATTTTTTTCTCGTCATATTTAAACAGAGGATCAATGACTACACTTTATACTTCAAAACAATTCACAGCAGAATCTCATCCCAGCATCCCTTGTAAACTTCAATTCCTTTCTTAATTACTGGTAGACGTACATGTACTAATTCTTCTGTTGGTTCTTGCCCAAACATCAAGGGCTGTAGAAAAGAGTTGCTGCAGAGTTGAGGTTCTAAAATTTATACACCCTTCTGCCGTTACAAAGGGGTTTGTCTTAGATTTCCGACAAAAATAGCAGAACATCGCCTCCTTTTCATAGCACAACCATGTGTGATCTCGCAACCAAGTTTTCAGGAAAGTTGGTGATTTTTTTGGTTTCCTTTGATCCTCATTCGTTTCTTCCTGATTAATACACTGTTCTTCTTCTGTATCATTTTTCTCTGATTCACTTTGGCTTCAATTCGGAGCGAAAAAGCTTTCTAATGTTCGAACACGTTTTCGATGTGACATATTACTGCACTTTTCACAAACACGTGAATTTTGACGTTCAAAAGCTAACTGACGATTGCGTTTTTCGCTGCCGTCAATCATCTTAACGGAACTCTTAGGAAACAACACTTTACTTTCACGGGTTCAAAAGGTCATGGTTTGCGATTTGTGATTGGTGGATTTCAATCCGTTTCGTGTGTTTCTGTGTTTCAAGGTTCGTTGCTTGTGATCGAGGGCAGCGAAAAATGTAATTGTGAAGGCGGCTTTTGAACTTTTGAGTTTGCATGTTTGTGAAAAGCGCAATAAAAATTTGCCACATGCGTTCACCACGCTTGGTTGAGCATGAGACGAACGTGTTCAGTAGAGCGTGACTGAAACGTGACTTTGGAATGAACTTTAAACGTGCGATGAAATATATTTTCCACATTCTGTTTTAGCTTGCAATTTCTGTACTGAGATAAAACTCTTCGTGTGTGCTTCCTTTCAAGTTTTTTCCCTAAATTTTGAAGGGGACAAATTGTCCCCCTTGACCGTTTTTTTAAGGGACAATTTCAATTGCAGTGTGGGATTGGCGCAATGACGCGGCCTGGCTCAAACCCTGCCACATTAAGCCTTTTAATTTTGCCAGCATGTTATCCAATTTATCTTTGTGCCAACTTAAATTAACATAATGCCTATTAAATAAGACCACAATATAGATGTAGTGTGTTAACAGGTTTCTTGTGGTGGGTTGTGGTTTTGTCACCATAGTAATCACCATCCTGCTAAATAGATTGGAACCCCCCTCTCTCCCTTCTTCAATAGCAACTACCCTCTAACACTACTGACCAAGAGTTCTGAACAATTGGTCCAAAAAAATTGCCATTTCTATTAGATCCATGTACCAGATAAATCTACAAAAGAGTATCTCTTACCTCTGTGACCCAAGAGAACTGCCAAATGAAGGGGTGTATTTCCTAAACAATAAAAAAAAAATCAATCTACCTTAATAATAAAATGTACAGAACAGAGTGTCAACTAATTTCTTCTTACAATATTACCCTTCACCAAGTAAAGAAGCTCTCGATTTCTAAACAAATTCTCCTTATCAGCACCTTAGGAAACATATAGAGAACAGTACAGAGAATATGCATACTTATGATAGGGTGTTGAGGATTGAGCAATGATGTGAAAATGCCTGTACTCTCTATGAACGAGAGATAAGGTCAAAATGAGTTTAAACTAGTTTAATTTGCTTCCCTGTGTTCTCTTTAAATAATCTCATTTCTTAAACAAAGAAAATAACAAATCAGTCTCTATTAGAATCAGGGTAATTTGCTTTATTAACTCAGTTGATAACCTAAATTGGCCACTGTTGAGAGTTTCAAAGCTGACATGTCAAGTGTTAGCCCTTGAGCATGGGCTTGCTCTGATAAAGAAATAATGCTCGAAACATCAGCTTTGAAACTCTAAATGGTGGCCAATTAACATTGTCAACTCAGTTGACAATACTTTATTACCTCGATACACTCTACCACCAATGCAAAGAGACTTAACTCCTTTTTATATCTTTTCAGGAGACAATATTTAACAACTATATCAATAACGTGGATTTCAACAAACTAGCAATATATTTGACACAAATTAAAACCCTGTGCGTGTGTTAATTAATTTTTTGTGGGTCAAACATTTGAGAGATAACGTTTGTGTTCAGAAGTCTTCCAAATATGAGATATGTATAATTTCTACAAAAAGGCCAGGAATGCTAAAAAGTCGCAATTCATTATTGATTACAATTTTCGACTTCATGAGGCAAAGAATTGTTAAGATCACAAGAGAGTCAGAGATAACAATAACCTTTGTACGTCTGGCAGATATTGGCAAACAATAGTATCTTTTTTTTTTTCACATTCGCGTACGATTTGACCACATCGAAACAAATAAACCATTGAAAGGGAAATTAGGTCTTAAAAAAATCCTCGCATCGCTACAAATACGAAAAAAGTTTAAAAGACGCGGGGTAACTTTTAAATTTGATGCTACATGTAAACATGTTCTCAAAATTGTCATCTGGTACTCCGGTGACCACATAAATTCTACGCAAGATTTTTTTTTCTTACCATGACATGGCTGCTTAAGAAAGGGTAAAAATTACTCATACGCTCAAGGAAAGAGTATTCTCCTCTATCAGACACTGCATAAGTAGTTATGCCGTAAAATTGGGAAAATTAATCTTACATATTTCGATTCGCGACAATTTGTAACCGCCGGCCGGCATGGGCGGTTGTGAAAACAAACTGTTGGGCGCTGTTTAAATGAAATGACAATGAACAGAAGTATTACCATGTACATCTCTTTCTCCTACATCATAGGTGCGTAAGCAACTCGAAACCTTCCGAAGATTCCCCTCAAAAACCGCTCTGTGAAGAGGAAATCTGTCGCATAACGAATCCATCAGTAAAGTAAAGTTCTGCGTTACCTTCCAATGACGTCAACTGTATCCCATGATTCACACGTGCAAGAATCATGGCGGACTCCTTACGCCTGAGAGCTCAGCAAAGATGGAAGATTTTGGCCTCTATCATTAAGAAGGAGAGTTTGGAAAAAAATGATCAGAAGGTGTCTGTGCGTAGATTTTCGGGATTCAACTTATTTTCTAAAAAGATCGTGCTGATCGAGACAGAGCTGAACGAAAATGGAACCGATTATGAGTGGGTGGAATATCGATACGGGAAAATTGTTGCAACCTGTAACAGCCTAGACAATACACCATTGTTAATAAAACAGCGATGTAGGAAAGTTGTCCTTGAAGATTTAATTGGTTTCGATAACACCGGCAACGTTTGCTTGTGGCCGTCAGAGGAAGTGCTAGCTTCGTATGTGCTTAAACACAGAGGTCAGTTTTGTGGGAAAACAGTTTGTGAACTCGGAGCAGGTATGACGGCGCTAGCTGGCATCGTTTTAGCTGTCATGGGAAATCCTCTCAAAGTTTTTCTTACAGACGGTAATGACAACTGCGTGAAAAATATGGAAGCAATCCTGCAGCAAAATAAATCATCGTTTGGTTCAACTGTCGTCCTGTCCGAGAAATTGTTATGGGATATTAACTCAGATTTATCTCATTTGGAATCGCAATTTGATTTTATAATCAGTGCAGATTGCTTGTTTTTCACTCAGTCTCACTATGGCTTGCTTCATACAATGGCAGTTCTTCTTAAAGACAATGGTTGTGCAGTCATTATGGCACCACAAAGAAAGGATACACTTGAAACATTTTGCAGCAAGGCCTTGTCTCAGTTTTGTGTGGAGAGGATTGAAAACTATGACCCAGTTGTGTGGTCACAGCACCAAGCAGCGAAAAATGAGGACCCACTTTATGATGAAGACATCCATTACCCTGTGTTATTGCTTCTTACTAAAAAAACCAAGAAAATGCAATTGCATCACCATAGAAGCTCCAGATGAATTTTTGTTATTTTTTTTTTCTAGTGGACTGAGTAATAATTGGCCAGAATCTGAACCTTTAACTGTGCTTTTCCAAGAAATTTTGATTAACACTGGTGCAGTAAGATGGAATAAAGAATCTACAAATGTTATTTTGCATTTGTGTACATGGACCTCAATTTAATGTTGTGGTTTGTAAGCAAAACTCAAACTTTCTCTTGCATTCTCATTGCTCATAATCTAGCTCTTCATTATTTAAGCAAGTTAGAGGCACAGGTAAAAAGCATATAGTATAAGAAAGAAGCTGCCATACTGTGTCTTGCTCATCACCTGGGCATTTTGAAAAAATTGGTCAGAATTAAAATAGTAGGGGTAATTGTATTACACACAGGTATAAACGACTCAGTCAAATCTTCAATCATTAAGCTAACCCCTCAACTCCCGAGATCTCATTAGTAATTCTCCTTACTGTCTGCCATACAAATTTTGGGATTTTAGTTTGGAGAATTGAATTGGATCGATGAAAAATGCTCAAATTGAAATTTTTCTTTAGTCCCATTTCTTGTTTATTTAATATTGTATCTATATTTTAAGGATAAATTCTGTTTTGGTCACTCGTGGGAGTTACTCCCATAAGTGACCAAGACAGAATTTCTCCTTACAATATCAATACAATATCAAGCAGGCAGGTGATGAGAATAGAGAAGAATATCTATCATGGGATTATAAGTTGATCCAATACCAAATTCTCTGAACCAACATCATAAGAATTGTATGGC